GGGTTCAAAATGAACTAATGTAAACATTAGCGCAACTAGGTCAATATAATGTGTATGATCCACACAAAGGACAAATATTATTTCTCCGACTGTTTAGTTGGGGGGTGTAATTTCGAATGTACATAATAATAATACGAATTCTGGGCTTTACTGGAAACGAATGTTTTCTGCTTAATGCTCTAAGCACACTATCGCATAACTTTGAAAGTATGGATGCTATAATCTTTTACTTTCGACACCTTTTTTGGTCAAACGGTCGGGTTGCGCGCACTTCGAAAAGAAAGTTCCTCATTTGTGTTTGAAGGCGCACCTTTTAAAGCCCTTATGGGTTAAATAAAATATTTTCACCTGTTCATTATCCATATTGAATTCCCACAACCAATAACTGCTTGATCATTAAAAAAGCACGTAGACCAGCACGAAAAAAATATCTACACTTTAACAAACAAGTTTTATTGTGTGGGAATTAATGCCATTGTTTGCTTTGGAATTATTAATTCATATTTCATCGAAAATCATGTTTTACGTTCGGCATGCCTAAATAAATTTATATTTATCCCCAATCTACTAATAGCAGTAACATAGTGAAAAAACCCGGATTACACATGGATTAAATTGCTCTTTCGCTACTCGTCCTGGGCTCGTTCTTGTTTATGTTGCGACTTCTGCCGAACAGAAAAAATAATAATTTCGAAAATTTTCCATCAGCCAATGATATACAACTTCCCTATTGCCGACTGAAATATTCACGATATCATAACGGGCCGCAGTGAGGCAAAAAATACAAATTGAAAACAGGAACGGCCAAAAAGAGTTCGGTCCGAGCTTTCGGGGCGCCAATCGATATTCGCTGTTTGAAATTCAAAGTGGAAACGGCTTTAGATCGCCCCCCATCTTTAATTCACTCCATTTTGGAAACTTTCCATTAAACTGGACAGTAAAAAAGCCGACCTGACATGCCGACGGTGACGCGGGTTGTCCGAAAAAAGCACTGGAAACAGTGACTGGAAAAAAACTGAAAGAATAATTGATTGCTATATGGATATTACCTCACCTTAGCACAAAAATCTTTCTGGAAATCATTGAATTTACAGGGCGAATGAAGAAGTAGTAGAAATGAGAGCACGAGAGGACAGAAACAACAGAATACCAGCCCTGAACGGTGCATAAGAGAGCACGTTCCCTCTCTTATGGGTACCAAAAAAAAATAAGACGAGATGGAATTTAGCTAACATTTTCAACTGAAACTTTAATCACGAAGCCATAGTCTTCATCATCCCTTCAAGAACTAACTATTAATATAAGTTTTACAATATGAATTTAATCAAATGTTAATTTGAGATGTATTTATTTAGTCAGTTGCAATACACATAATTAACTGCAAAAATATATTTCTCGCAATAAGTTTTAAGCAAAAAGCTAAATTAAAACGTTTGTTTGTCTGGACTTTTTGCGTGTTTTCCGGTCGTCTAATTGCAATTGTGATGAATAAGAAAAAGAGATTTTCCATTCTACATCATCATTTGTCGAGAAACAATCGCGCAAAGCATTATTTAAAAATTATTATCTTCACTTAGCATGAAACCTGATGGTTTATGAGCGAAAAAAACCTCAACATAATGCGGACAATAAGCTCTACCGGAGTATCGGATTTTCTCTGAACAAAACAAAGAGATAAAGTGCACAAAAGAAAATTCTGTTTTTCACCGGCGCACATCATCTCGTCGCGGCGCCTTTGCAATATTTAGTCGTTGATTTTCTTGAAAGTTTTCTTTTCAGTATTAGTCTCGCCTAGTTTGCTTAATTCCCGGCTTGGTTTCATTATTTACCCGATTTTGCTCAGAAACCCGCAAAACATTCCCTCTAGCCAATAACGAAAGCATATTTTCCAATTTTTTTACAACGTTGTTTTATTTTCTTCAGCTCTGTTTTCCCTGGACTAATCATATCACTCTGATGCCCCTCTGTATAAGAAATAAATAAATATATAAGGGGAAGTTGACAACTAGGAATCATAAAATCATCATTAAAAATTCCTGTATGTGTCTCAAGTTTCTGGATATTTATACAAGCCAGTTGGGAAAACAGTAGGGGTTCCGACGACTTCTAAACAGAAAATGCTGGTTGACATTTTTATACAGGAAACACATAAAATAGTGGAAAGCCGCCCCATAAACGGCGTGTTACTTTTATTATTCATTCCCTTTATAAGCCAGCTTGTCGCTTCTAGAAACAGATCAGGGCGAATGTCTGAAAAACCGCTTCAAATAGAATCGGGGTATTAGAAATATCCGCCTTAAATTCGTTCTGACATGCAGAGCAATCTGAATTTAAATTAGTGATCGCTACTGTGCATTTTGAACGTTGAAAAGCATCGGAAGTTTCTTAAGTATCTTTCACCGACAATTTAGGATGTTCCCTAAGGAAAACTATCTATCAAATTACCCAGACAGTTTGTGCTGATTGCATGTAAATTTCGCGAAACTCCAAAAAAAGTTCGGCTTTTGCGGCCATTGTTTGAAACTGGTGAGTTTTTAGGGCTTTTAGGTAGCGGTGGAAAAAAAATATTCCTGGCATTTCGCAAAGCGGAACACTGCTGAAGATGCAAGAAGCCACCCGACCTTGCAAATTTCAGGAAGAAATTCTTTTCCGCGGCAACCTGGAAGCCCGAAAACTCACCAGTGTCCATAACGTCCCTGCTAAATCTCTCCCCTTTGCCGGGTTGTTCCAACATATATGTATATACACTTTTTCAATCTCGCAATGTTCTAAATTGGCCTCAAAGTTGAAGTTGATAATGAATAATCAATCTTCCAATATACGCCTAAACTGATGGAAAACTAAAAGGGATTCGACCCTCGACAGTCGACAGGAAGTCGGGGATTTCGTTAAACCGCCTATGTCTAAAAGTTGTCTTCGAACATGAAATTTGTATACGTTTCCAGAACCTCCCCCCATTTCCTTCTGATATTGCAGGATACGAACAAAACAGACGGTGTAATTTTAGACCGGGTTCGTTTGAATCTGAGAGTTACTATTTATAAGTTGGTCTGGAATGGGGGGCGTTCAACGTATCTTCTTACATTGTTTCAATTAGGCAAATCTGTTCAATCAACGGAATTGATCTTTTTTCCCTCAAACTCGTCAGTCACCTAAATTGAAACTCTCCCTTGCCTGACTTTAACAATTTTATTCCAGATTCAACTGTCTAAAACGTTGAACCATTGGAATTTATCTGGCCGAATAATCGGGAAAATTCGGGCTTCAATTAAAATATAACGCATGAGTCGTCCCTTCAATATGAGATTTGATACATTTTTTTCTAGCGAACAATTGTGGTAAAAACAATGCAAATCGATAGCGCTCAAAGTGCTGGTTCCCTGATTTATACGACGCTTAATGTTAACTTAACTTCTCCAAAGATAATTTGAGAATTTTCCATATTTTCCATCACGAATAACACCAGCAAATAAATGATGACCTTCATATAAACCGGGCATGTTTAAGCACTTGAACAAATAATTTTGTTGCATTTTATACAGTTTGCAAATCCATATTGATAACAATATACGGTATGTTTGAACCAAATAGAATAAAACCGATTTTAATCCTGAACTACATCTGTTTGCGGCACATATTTTCAGGCCTTTGTTGTAATATTTGTTCATATGTGGAAATGTTATTGTACAAACGCCAATTTTTCGATCGGCAATTTTTTCATTTGAAATTATAAAATTAAACACTTTTTGATTTAACGCTTCAGATAGAGAACTTGATGGGGGGTTTTGAATTTGTTATTTCAGTTTGAGCGCGTTTACTTAGAGGGTTTTTCTTTAAATAGAAAATTAATTGCTTCATTTGAATTTCAATATTTTATAAAGCCGGCTGGAAATGCATTGATTTTCTATGAATTTTTGGGTTCAGGAATGAGGAGATTTTAGAATTCGACATGAAAAATATGATATTTTGCAATTTTGAAACTGTCAACATCTACTTAACACCCAGACATATATGTTGAAGAGATTGTTCTGTGAGAATATATACTTTTTTATCTGTAAGTACATTCAGAGGGATGCGTTTCCCTTTGCTCGTTTGCAGATTAACATTTCCAAAGCAAATGTAAATAAATTCGGCTGATGTTTTCTTTATTTTCCTTAATTTCATCGTGATCAACCTTAGACAATAAAAGGAGTCAAAGGCTTCACAATTCCATTAGATGCTGAAAACGCGCTGTTAATAACGCCCATTTAACTTTTAACTAAGACTAAACTTTTCCTTAATAGGATTCTTAAAGTTGCTTTCTGGAACTACCAGCCAGTAGACATAATAAGCAAATAACTTTGTCCAAATTTGTCGTGAAATGCAGTTTTCATTATGTCGGGAAATTTACGACTGTATATATTTTCCGTCTCTTAGGACTCAGGCAAAACTTTAAATTATGAAATAGTATCGCTCGCTTTGTTTTGGGACTCGTTACAGCGTCTGCCATAGAGTTTTCAGGCAGAAATTAACGTTAGTATGGAAATTAGGTGGGAACTAATGAGGTTCAAGCCATGGTGTTTGTCCTCGTCAATGTTGAACAATTTGCCAGACAGTGTTGGCTCAATTTTCAACGCCAAGTTTCACTCGAGCCTCGCTTAGAAGATAATTTGCTTCTTTTGCAAGCACAGCACATTTATACGTTTTATTTAGTCGAATATTTATGTTAATATACTTTTTCATTATTGATACTAATTATTTAACTACTTAGCTTGGAAACAGTTTCAGTTCAGTTGACACCTCTAATAGAATAGTGAAATCATGTTTTTGCGCCATGAACTTCACCATCTTCATTCATTAATGATTTGCATGATTTGCAAATAAACAAATTTTTTCTTTTAAGTTTGATTCTACTTTATTGAGACAAGAGCTACTGGAAGCCCAATTTTCGATGTTTTCCGCAATGGGACATTCAAGGGGAGTTTTTACCGCAAACTAGATCTACCTCGCCTTCACATTACCTGCACTTGAACAGATGCTACTGATGTGATGCAATTTCTTACCTGCAAATAAAAAACCAATTAGTTGAATGATGCATTTTGACCAAAACATGTGTAAATTTTAATAAAATGCTTACAAGAACATGAAATGGTGAATTTGGCAAGGCGAAAAATGCAAAGCAATTTTTCGTTCAGAGCTAAATCCAATGGTCGTTCACATTGCGAGCAAACTCGAAAACAACGAGCATCCGACAAGTCTCATCCTTGATAAGGCTAGACAGAACTTATTTTAATAGTCGTATCTTGACTTTTCCAGGCTACACGCCGGTAATCTGCTGGCTGTGCTGGGAAAAGTCGAATCCTCACTCCATTTCTTTGATAACTTAACTTTAAATTTTAATGTTATAGTGCCGTTGCTTTGTCTCGAACAGCCAGTCACTGTGTCAGAAAGTTTTCGTTGCGAAATTAAGTTTCGAGGGAAATAACGTGCAAAAGGTGCAGCTAGTTTAATTATATTTTGGGAAAATATGATAGAGAAGTTTTCGGAAAATCTAGAAAAGCTTTGACTGCGAACTTTTCAGCAAATACATTATAATGCGCTTTCGGTGAGCCATTAGCAGCTTGCCAGGTCTGGGGCTTTTCCTGAAGAAGACATCCTTATAATAATCCAGGCAACATCAAAGTGGAGCCTTGTTATTTTCCACGTATTGAACATTATTTGTCTGTTTGTGTCTAGTCTAAGATGCGGAAATATCCCATTTTCGGGATATTCGCAGATGAAAGACCGGCATATGTAGATTCGTTCCGTCTTACTGGTGTAAGAAAATGGACTAATTTAAATATTCATGTCGGATCTGGGGCTGTATATATCATAGAGCATGTTGAATAAAGCATTATCAAACAAGGGCAACATTTCGTTGCAATTACCAGCTGATTTTCATAAATTACTGGTACTGAATCCTACTGCTCTGAGTATATCGGTTGTATCTAGTTAAAATTTACACTGCAGATCTGTTTTAATAACTTTAAAGTTTATTTTCCTGATTTCCATTGTCGTCTATTAAAACCTCTTCAGGATTACAATCTATGGTTTCAAGGTACTAAAAACAAATTAAGGAGATTATTCACAACTCATGTTTTCCTGCTCTAAGCAGCTGTTCACCGTTTAAGCTCAAAAGCTTCGAGCCTAAAAATTAGTCGCGTAATCAAATAAATAACGGTGTCCACTTCTGAAGCGTGCTCTAACATCAAGAAGTAAAAGACACCTTTTATTAACTTAATTTAGAGGTACGCAGCCCACGGCCTATCATAAATTCGAGGGATTTTATGGGTCCAGAGGGGCTCAGGGGCGCAGATAAGAAAGTTAAGCGCAACGTAATGCTTCACGAACATTTTACGCAAACAGCACATAAATAATTAAATATTCAACTTGTCAGTGATGATAACGGCGAGTTAAGATGTTTGGTAGAGTTTAATAAATTGGTAAAATAACCAGTTAGATCGCAATCTAAAATTCAGTTTGAGTCGGAAAAGGAAGCTCAAGCAATGTGTGTATTAAAAAGAGAACAAACCTACTCCCCCCTTACTGCTTAGCGAGTGTTCCTTCTCTTTCCAGTGAACGCATTAAAAGCGCTGTCTTGCTTTAGTCGTATATTCGGCAAAACGGAAAAATTCTTTTAGCAGATCTGTACATGGAAAATCCAATTATTTGATACTTATCCCCGCTTGAGTTGTCCCTTTTCGTTCAGGTTTATCTATAAAAAACTATCGATTAAACTGGCATTAGCCCGAAGAAACAGTCGGGCCAGTATTAGAGATTCGTGTCCCGATCGGAAACTCCTCTTCGAGTTAATTAAGAAACTTAGAGCAGCTTTACAAAACGGCTAAACGAAGAGCGAATTAGGGTATACTAATAGTAAAAATGTGCGGCAAACTTTGTTTGCTCGGGCCGCCGTTTTCCCAAAGGATTTAACGGCTTTTTATCATATTGAAGGGCTTTTGAACGTCCCCCTGTTTTCCGAACTAGGGAAAGATTTTATGGAAAATGGGGGTTTTCCGAAAATTATCTACAGATTTGTTTTCAACCACACAAACACAGCACACACACAGTATTACATCCGGTGCAGCTCGGTTTGAAATATCACCTCATGCAACAAACAGATTTATTTTGGTAAACGTTCCTTCTGTAAGTAATTATTTTCCTGAAATTCGCCATTTATTTTGCGGCAAAAACTTACGGTACTTGAGGCGAAGTCCAGATCCGCTGTGCGTTTCAAATTTGTTATATGACTCCCGGCCAACGGCCAAAGTTACATTGACTGATGTTTGGTAATTACAATTTACCTGTTACCATTTTCCTTTCCTGAATTTTATGGCATATTTCATGGATGAACGCTACGAAAAGGTAATATTTATTTTTGCCATTAGTCCAGCCAGGCCTGCACGCCACGTTAATCTTTAAATATTTCAAACTTCAAATTCATTTACGTTAAATTAATAATGGTAGTTGTCGAAATTGGG